GCTCGCGAAGCCACGAGTTTCGTGTAAGAAACTATCGATGGGATCAGAATCGTCGTACTACAAGCTGATAATCTAGAGAGGCATGAGGTAATACGTACTTAGATTTAGATACACGCGTAGTTGGCCGACGTCGGCCTCTACGAAGGAGCTGGAAGCCAAAGAAATGAGTTAAGTCGCGTCTTCGTTCGCGCGAGCAAGGAGCAAGAGGAAGGACAAGGTGAACGAAATAACGCGATTAACGTATGTGGCGCAAAGTGGCCGCGGTTCAATTGCCAAAGTTTACTGCTAATCGTGTAATCATTTAGTCAGGGTTTAGTTATTCACATTATCGTTGATAAGGAACAGTAAGTAAATTGATCGGCAGTTACTTTACGTTGATGTACTGCGAATCGAAACCGAGGAAAGAAGAAGAGAATGGACGTGAAACATAATGATAATGATAATATTTTTTCGTCCGGGTTGACCGATAGAAGAGCGTACGGTGAGAAAGAAAAGGCGAGAAAGATGGAAGTGAGTAAAGATGATCGAGGTCAGCCAGTCCGAACAATTGATGGCTCGTCACTCGAGTCATCCGTCCGACAGTCTCTTATTTTTGGGAGATTTTTGTGAGAGGAGGCAACCGATACATATTTTTTCATGTGATATGAATTTGTTACAGAGATAGCCTAGTTTCACCTGTGATCTGTTACTTAGTTCCCTTTATCCATGTCTGTTGGTCGCTGTGTGCAATATTGTCGTACGTACGATTATAATAACGATAATAATACTATTGATAATGGATAATGATAGCGTAATAGTAATAACGATTAACGATAATGGTAACTAATTAAGTCGCTATTGTAATTGGGTAATCAGCAACGATGCGTAATTAGGCGCGACACGAAGAGACGTCCGTGGTGTTACAATAATTATTTCGAGGTAAGGATTCGATTCGCAAACGGTTGTGAGCGAGTTTTCTGTTGGTCATTTGGTTAAGCCAAATGGCATGTAACTAAATATTTTACGTATTTGTCATCGTTTAGAAAAAACGTAGAATCCACATCATACGTAGGCAAGTGCCATAAAAAGATTTTAGTCGGTAGAATTGCAACTAATTTCGATAGATATTGTTTGACTGTAGATGGATACGTTCTATTCCTATGATTTCAGTGGAAATCACGCGTGAACGTGATACTAGTCATAGTGTATTTGTTTAGAATTATTCACGTTAAGTTGACACCTCACCAACGTTGTATTTGGCACTCTCTACCGTATCCTTTTGATTAGGTTGAGTGTAATGCATACACGTTGTATTTTAAGCTGCCAGTATTATTAACTGTAATCGATAATGCATATCCATGTTAATATTTAAGAACATTATATTGTCCCCCGCCCTTGACGGATGATTATGGGAAAAAAGGTATAATCTATCTGTACGTATATATTTATTTGGCGTTCTATTTATTGCATTGTGTCGTTATAAGTCAATGATCTTACTGTCATGGTTCCGTGTATACCCTTGATTTAATAGTAAGATCATAGTGAGTATCCATGGTAATCTTATTATTGTTAGGTATTAGAGAAACGTAGAGTAAAACGCCATTCACCAAAATGAACAAAACAAAAAAAAATGTGACGTATGAACAAGGCAGTCGTAAAAATTATGTGGTAGATACTAACTTGTAGATACTTCCTGTACCTTGAAATTTATATGAAGTAGCATTTAGCTCCAATGTATACATCATTATACGTATACATAAATATTCTATTACTATTACCAGAAAACACTAGCGCATAGTCGTTTATAGAAGGTGCAATCGAACGTCAGATCGGAAGTAATGGAAAAGGGAAACAGGAAACAAAATCCGATATTATATAGACACGATTCGAGCGCTGTGTACACTCTTAATGTAAACGGTATTCGAACGGTGTGATGTGCAATAAACGAAACAGCGATCTAGTGTGGTCGCCGCGATGCGTGGTGCGATTCGGTATTTTTGTTTTAGCATGACAGACCACCGATGTTCCAAATCGACTTCACTAGATAGTCTTGTGTACTCCGAAATTCCCTCTTAATAATAAAACATTTAATAAAATAACGTTCCTCGTTTTTCTTTGTCCTGTCGATCCTCAGTTATTCTTAATTATCCTCAGTAACGTAATTTTAGTAAGATGATATCAAAATAAACTTATATTCTCAATAATGTAGATAAAAATATAATAACAAATTGCAAATAAATATTATGAATTTTAGATTAATTTTATAATATTTCTGTGTATGTAATATATTGTATTATATTATTCACTGAACCAGATATAAGACCTTAGAACAAGCACTTCATAAAAATATTTAGAATACTTTACAGTGAATAATTAGAATCTCATTTAATCTTGTTCTCCCAGTTCTTCTTCTTCTATGTATTGAACAACATGATTTGCAGGTTCAACTGTATCCATCGGTGCACTGGCAGATCTGTCAGATTGATCTTCTGTCTCTGTTCTCGGTGTCTCTGCAAGCTACGAATAGAACATAAACAATTTACGTATCATTTCAATTCCGTGTTTAAGCTTTTCGACTTATTTACCTCTTCTATCACTTCCTTAGTTATTTCTCGAGATTGTCTCCTCGACGATCGTTTTCCTGTTAAAATTGTACTAATAAGTTTCTATAAAATAGTTTCTTTAAAATGTATGTTGTAATGTAAATTGTACCCTTCAATTTTTGGTTTGTCTCGTTATTACAAAAATTCATAATGAAATAAAAATAAAAATAAACAATAGAAAATTATACCCTGAATCTTATATAGAAGCATAGAAAATTCCAAACATTATTTTTGTTTAATTAAATGATATGTATTTAGGTAATTACAAAGAGCAAGAAAAAATTGGTTCATGTTCAACGTACTTGAAACAGTGGAAGTTTGCTTGTCAGGCTTTCGCAAGGATGGTATAGTAGTTATCGATTGTCTATCCTGAAATACAATTACCTTTGTTAATTTCGAAGCTGAAAAATACGTGGGGAAAACGAATAATTACCGATGATCGAAGTTCGTCGCCACGCTCGTCGCAATATGTAGGTCCGCAGACATCGATTTTATCTGGCATTCGCCGACCTTTATACATCTTACCGTCCGTTCCCTTTATCATCCCTTCCGTCAGCTGAATTATTTCCGGTCCCCACTCAGTGAGGAAATGGCCCACTCGCATTACTCTTTGCTGAGGAGTGGTAATCGTGTGGCTTCCACCGCAGTATCGATTGCACAGATGATCTCTAACATTTAAACATATGTCTCGAATAAAATTAGTCCTTTTTTTAGCTAGAAACATATAATAATTTAATAAGATAAATATAGTTAGACGTTCATTTATTTTAAAGATTTCTAAGCTCAACTCGTTAATCGATCAGAGTATACTAATTCGTCATTTGAATTTCTAATTACTTACATGTAATAATTTTTAAGCTTATGGATTCCTCAGCCTTTTATCCTTTGTGTTATTTTCATTGAAAATAAGTAATTACTTACAAGAACTAAGATCGTTCCAATAGAAATTAGTTTGTCCCTACTAATTTTCAAGTTTATCATTATGTAAGTTTCTAATTAAAAAATGACTTGGTTAACATGTCAATCACTGATAATAATGGATCATTGCATTTATTCTCCCGACGTCATCAATTTAGCAAAAATCGAAGGCAATTTATAAATTAACAGAAAGGATAATTTAACTTCTTTAGCGGTACTGAGATTAAAAGTATATTTTTTTATATTTAAACGTTTCTTTTAAATTTGCTCAGAAGTCCAAAGCGAATATATTGTTCTGAATCTTTAAAAAAAAGATGTACATCTCAATATTAGTTACGTACCTAGGAGTCTTCACAAGCGTGTCCGCTCTTGCGCTCTTCTGCTTCTTTGCCTCCTCCTGCATGGCTGCTTCAAATTGAATCATATTTCTACTATGAGGTAACCTTCTGTGTTGCTTTCTAACCTGATCCAATTCATAGGTCAGGTACGGCTTCATGCTTGTGGTGCATGGTAATGTTTCAACTTTAAATTTGTGGGGAGGATCCATTCTCATGACCACATCCTTGTCGCAAGATATGCATTGAACGTCCCTAATAACACATACAAAATGTCATCGAGCGTATATCTAATTATCATTGGATATTGCGCGATGAACTCAGTTACTTGAGATACAAAATTTAGAACAATATAAATATACATATACTGTTGAAGGATTGCTGTAACTTTACCTAAGCATTTTTTTGGTTCCGGCAGCTTCGATATCTTGTCTCGCTTCCGCCACTCTCTTCAACTTATCTTGAAGAGATTTCAGTCGATGATTCACGAAATCCTTCAGCGGAGAAATCTCCATTTTATCAACTTTTCCCTCGATCTCCTTTTGTACTTCATCCAGAGCTTGTTGCCAGATCTCTTCTTGCTGTCCCAATTTATTGATCGCGTCTTCGAGACCGTGTGCGAGATCATCGCAAGCTGCATCGAATTGATCGTAAGAAACCTGAGGAATAAATACCACAGAAAGATTGCTATTTAGTTTCCTCTGATTTTTTGGTAAATATACATGTGCAGACCTTTCTATGTATCGCCTGAGCATCAGCTTTATCGGCAAGAGCTTCTTCGAGGTCTTCTCTATCGGCTTTAATGGTTTTCAAAAGTTCCACTTGTTCTAACAGCGCCTAAATGAGGAGTAGAACAATATGTGCAATAATAAGGAGGAGAAATATTAACTAAATAATCCACGATAAAGAGGGGGATTAATTATATATTGAACGATATAGAATGAATATAACGATGAATATAAATACGATGAATAATATACTAACATTAAGATGCATTTCGCGAGTTTCACGATCATCGATCAGACGATCCGCGGTTTGATTCAATTTCTCCATTTCAGCTTGAACCTCGTTATACTTAGAGAATAAATTGTCGATATTAGTGGCGCCTGCGACACCAGTCACTTGTACTTTGTCCACTTTATCAGATATGGTAATCACGTCCTTTTCTAATTTTGAAATGCGTTTTCTCATGTCTTGCAATTCTTCTGAATCTATCATTCCCTTCGGATTTTCAACCTGAGTGCGTAGTTCTGAAGGTGTGTTTTTACGTGGTGTCGTTATTTCCTTCGTCGTTTCCTCTGTTTCCTCTTTCTGTGTTCTTTCGACCGGATTTCCTTCCTTTTGCGTAGTCAGTTGTTTTGCTTCTATCTCTTTGGTCAGTTCTACATGGACGTGTATAAAAATCGATAATTTATCTCTGAGAAATTAATTGATATATAACTTTAAATATCAAATATTGATTATTAAAAGCGTGTAAGGTCGAATTTTATTGGAAACTGAAAATGATGACTTTCAGTGATTCAATATTAGTGAACGTTCATGTATTAGATCTAATATTTATCAAGTTTTTGTTTATCAAGTTTGTAATATTTATCAAGTTTTCCATTTGTTGCTGCTAATAATTGCAGAATAAGTTTTTTGAGATACCTTAATTTAATTGATCATTCTAATAATTCTTTCATTCTCAGAATGTTTTAAAAGAAATGTTCCTTAAATTCTTAAAAGTATTTTGTCTCCTTTTCACAAGTCGAATGTAATTATAAAGTAAGTTAATAAACATAGACTAGAATATCACAGAAATTTCAACAATCATAGTGAACTTTGGATAGTGTAATGATTGCAAACTTTCGATCTTAGGCTTAAATTAAGCGTAGTTCCAAGTTTAGATTAAAAATGAAGATGGGTAAGAAATTATTAAAGAAGATGACCGTAAATATATCAAAGAATACTTCAACAGGGACAGTTAAAATGTAAGAAATAGTAAGTATTGATAAGATTCATTAATTCCCTATAACTAATTATTTAATTACGATACTTATGATTCATTACCAGTTTTTGTTTTGTCAATCTTTTCGTTCAAATCTTTCAGTTGATTTTTCATTTGGCTAACTTCCATTTGCAAGTTGCCCACGTCCTGGTGCATTTTTCTTATGTCTATTTCGCCTAGAATTTCGCTTAATGTAATTCGTCTAACGGGTTGCTTTTCTTCCTGTACAAGCTGAGCTTCTTCTTCTTCTTCCCCGGTCGTTACAGGTTTTTTTATCGCCTCAACCTCTCCATCGTCAGAGATTAATTGTAAATTCTGAACGACGTGATCCAAATTGTTTAAAGCGTTTTCTAAATTCACTAGTCTTTCTTCGAGCTTCGACGTGTCTTCCGTGGCGAGTGTTGTGTCGCCCTTCATCACATCTTGCACCATTTTTGTCAACTGGAAGCAGAGCATTTTCTGTAGTTTTACTATATCGGAAGTTAAGTAGACTATAATATATATAATATATATAAATACAACTAAATAGTTTTATTTAAATTGAAAGATCTATATTACCAAAATACAAATTATTAATCATTACTGGATTGTTTATGACATCCCTGCTTTTATGTGTTTCTTGTATTACCACATCTTTTATGTGTTTCTAAATACTATTAAATTACGAGTACGTACGCAGTAGTTTACGGCTAAATAATAGACAACCGAGATATCGATAAGTTTCCTCATTGTGAGATTAAGTAACGATTGAAGGAATCAAGTTATACCTTATCAATACCTTGTTCACTGGCGTCCAATCTTTTGGTAATGCTGATAATTTGCCAAACGTCGGTCAGGGGATCGGTGATTTTACCTTTCAGTCGTTCGATAAGCTCTGGAGTCGTTGCTAACTCTTCCAATGCTTGAAACCGTTGTTGAAGTTCGTTAACCTATATAAATATTTTAATTAGAATCTTATCATATAATTTTACACCTAATATTTTTCTCTCGACGAAAATAAATAGAAAAAATATATATATGGCAAAAACATATGGAGTGATATGGTAAGTAGAAGATAAACTTTTATTACATTTTTTTCGAGTCGTTTGAAACCTAAAGCTGTAGGGGTTGCACCATCAACAATCGGTTCTACAAAGATAACAGTTTCGCATTTGCCTTCTTTCCCAGGACCAACTTGTTTTCTGACACCTGTTGTCTCTTTTAAATCCACCGCGTCTTGGGATGCTCCACTTTTGACTAAATAATTCGTTACCAGCATTAATTAACAATAGTTGAATTTTTGAAATAACCTTGAAATACTGAATTGAATTTGGTAATTTTTTAATATTCTGTTCCTTGCATTCTTGTGCAGGTTTGCTTGGGATTTCACTGATATAACCACGTTCTTCTAATATCTATCTTATTTTGCGTGTATTACAGAAATATTATTTTGTTATAAAACATTATTTTCTTACATAGATACCTAGCTCGCTTTCAAACTTTTCACGTTTTGTAACTGGAACACTCGCAGGTCTTTCTCTCGCCTCAGATTTTATAACGAAAAGTATGAAATTATTACGATAACGAAAGCATGTACAATTGTATCGTTAATTTAATATAAAAATAACAATATCAAAACTAGTGCATCGCTTACAATTATCAGAATATCTTCTTACCATCACTGACTACATCCACTTTTACACTTACAGCGTCGGTACTACGAACTTGTTGCTTCACGTCACTGGAATCATCGATAATATTGTACTCTTGAAGGTAAAGCGAGGGACCTGCTTTTAGGGAACTTACCATCGTCTAGAAATACATATTATTTAACCTTTCGTTGCATTTTATTAAATTTCACTATTTATAGCTTTATTATATTTTCCAAAAATTAAGCAAAACCACAATACACACAGTATTTTACCTTGATTCGATTAGCATCGTCGCCACGATACTCAACCTTGGTCGATCCTAAATTTATCCGATGCAGTAAAATATGAAGGAAGTTGTGGAGGATATTTAAATTTACCGCTCCAACCTAGACGCGAACGTAAAACGACGTACCTGTCGTTAAAGTATTTCTTATACCTCATTTCGTGAATTATCGTGTTCTATTTGCGTGAAAGATCGAAGATAAATTCTTTTTACTTCCGGAGTTCCCAATGCAAGATCCAACATTTGCGGTAAAGAAACCTGCAGACTGTCCACTTCCTTAGCGGCAGGAGGTGACGTAGGCGATTTCGCGACTTTTGCCGACATTCTTCTTCACTTCAACAATTTTCCAAAGTGTTTATTTAAAAAAAACATAATAATAAGAACTTCTGATTTTACGGTAACCTTTCTTGCAATTCTATATCTCGAATGTCAGGCGGACATATCATTTTGGCAAGTCATCGGTATTCTTTTATTCGACTGTAGTATCATGGACACAGATGAGATACGAATGGTATTTATTACAATATATGGTAAATAGTTCTAGTAGAATAGTAAAAATCTTAGACGAGTGGTTGTATTATGGCAACATAGAGTTGTAATTAAATAGACGTCAATTCATTGTTGCAACTCTGAAATTTGACAAAGATAGATATTAAGAACCCTCTACTTTTACTCTTCTTTTTTATTTCCTTTTCATCTAATTCTTTCATTTCTTATCGTCTATTTTTTTCTCTACATCCATTCCTCAATCAATCTAGAAAAAGAGTTGTGAATTTATTTCGTATTACTTTCCCCTAAATTATTTTCGTTTGCAACTGTGATATAATTTGATGATGAATCGGTAACACTCGAAGGGATACTGAAATGGTAAAGAAACTTGCAAATCTTTGAACTGCGGAATAAAAAGCGCGTATCTTATCCTAAAATATTTAGTATAGTAATTTTAATAAATATATCGAATTTATAAATTTGTGTAACGTATAAAACACTAACACAGGCACATTTATCTTTGTTAAATCACAGATATTCCAGACTTTATACTTTCAACCCTTAGCTTCCGTGAATGAACTAAAGATAGCGCCACGGGTATTGTCGACAAGTATCGCCCTCTTGTAGTCGAAATTACCACCTCTTATTTTAAATTCGAAAATTTGCAACCATTATAAAATCCCCCTTAATTGAAACTCTAGCCTGAAACGTCGACGAAATAAATTTTAATAAAAATTAAAGAAATTTTAAGCTACGGTTTGTGGACATTCTCCTATATTAGGTAACATTCTTTAGATTAAGAAGAATTCTCAAAATACTTCATAAAACTTATTACACCAACGACGGTGAATAAATATTTCATAAGATATAGGTTAATTCCTATTAAAGAATAAACAATAAAAAGTTAACTTTTAACTTTTAGTTACTTTATTTTCTGGTATTTCTTATAATATCGATTATATACATAGAATATTTATTCTCGTATTAAAAATTTCCTGAAGTACCGGCCATACGATTCATCATCGAAAAGTGGAACGCCTGGTGTGCTAGAAAACCAAAACAAAGAAACGTTTGTCACCGTGAAAAATGCAACAACCATTCGCTTTTAATATTAACGCGTCTGTTCACAATAACTTCTGTCATGTGTTGCGTTACCAGCGTGTCGTATTAATGAAACAATAATTCATCGTGTTCCATTCTTTGCATAGTAAAACCGTTTATCTGACCGTACGTGACAGGTGGTTCCCTATCGCGGAATAGAAACAAATTCACGATCAAAACGCAGATTAGTTCGCGACGTACATATTTTACCTGACATACCGTATGACATTGTCGATCGTTTGCAATACCTATCCGATATGGTCAACGCGTGCATCGATCGCCACTATTTATATCGCCGATACGGAAAACGATTAATTCTGTTTTATCGGTAGTATGCTGTTCTATGGAACTTTCGAGAACTTTCGACATTAATCGAAGTTTATATCATGGCTATAACAAGCATTATAATCACTATTATATCGTTATTTTCAGGCTACTAAATTTATATTTATTGTATAAAATAATTGAAAATGAAAATTTATGTGAAGCGAGAATAATTCATCGAGATATTAATAAGACGAAAACAATATCACGTTCGATAGTAAAGTAATAAAAGCTTGATTTTTCAGAAGAATAAGTGACGTTTCTAGATATCCTTTCTCCTCTTTTATTTCATTCTTTCGCGAATATATCATTTGTATTTTGAACTAAACACTCGCAAACAATAAATTCTCATTTTTACATTCAGAAGAACTTGTTGCCTCCATCATTAAGAAAGAATGTATTTATTTTACATTTATATTTATATCATCGAATAAAATAATGCCGACTGTTTGACGAGTATAGTCTTTGACAAGTATAATCTTTTAAATATATTCGACACATCGTATCCTTAAGTTACACGCGATAAATCTGACCTGACCGGTATGTTTGAATAATATTGTTCGATTAGCGGATCGAATGTCTAATCGAAGATAATCTCGGTTTTCTTAGACAGTAGCTCGGTATCCATAGTAGAATCTCCAACATATGTTCAATATCAGAAACTGGTCATGATTTTTGTATGATTCAGTCGCCCACCAGGTGCTGGACACGTTACACCGACCCTTGTGCATCATGAATTCTCTTTAACTTTACACTTTTTGCTGCGTTTCCAGTGTCAGTGTGATTAGAGGGAGGGAAACATGAATCCGACAAAGTGGAACCTTGTCTCAATGGTGATGGTGAGTGAAAATCAATAATTCAATTGATATTTTTCTTGTGGAAATACTTCTTCTGAGAATGATATTGCGAACATTTCAACTACAAGGATATTAGGTTTCACTCTTTTTGATTAACGATAGCCGTTATATTTGAAGTACCCTGAGTTCTTCCTATAAATTCTTACTTCTTTATCAATTTTGTCATTATTCGTTCTACTTTACATTTTCTGCTAACCACGTGCAATTCTTTTTCCTATTTGTACGAAACTCCCGTAATATTCCGAAACTTACAAACCACAAAGTTTCTTAGTTTTTCCAATTACTTCATCTCTGAGATATATCCAATTCTCCCAAGTACTTTTCCTTAAAAATCTCAATACTTACTTACTCAATCTTCCCAAAAACTGAATTCTCAAAAAATAATTCTTATAAATACGATATGCAGTATAAAAATATTAATTCTGTGCGAATACTATATTCCAATAAAATATCCAACTTTCCCAACCACCTTATGAAAAATACTCGATTCCCGCAAATATTTCATTTCCGAAAAATGATGCTTCTAAATACAATCACATTGATAGAATATTCCTTTCTGTTAAATACTTCGTGTAAAAAATATCCAATTCTTCTAGATATTCCATCCAAACCTCAAACTAGATATTTACTCTATCAAAGTTGCATATCTTCGAGAATTTATCATCTACGAATCAACTATCCTTAATATCTATAATTTTTCGCACAGCTCTCGCTAATCTTCGCGGCTATTCAGACACCGTCAAAACAAAATCCAGAGCAGTCGAAACATCATTCCGGAAAGCGTCATGCCTCTGCATCAAGTCAATCATTTAACACGCCATCCTATTGGGAGTATATTCTCCGAGAGTTCGTGTTCAAGACGATCTCGCCATCGCCATCAGGAAACCACCAGCTGTACAGACGTCTGTTGGAGGCGCCATTTTATGGCGGCCCGTTTCCCATCGTCTCGAACGACGTGGCCAACGTCGTCTTGTCGCGTGGCGACGTTTACCAACTGCCGAGCGGCCACTGGCTGTTCTGTCAACAAGGATGCGTCGAATGCGGCGTGTGTATCGACCACACGCACCCTACGGTCAAGTGGGTGCTGCGGAGAATCAAGAGAACCTCTTCACACGGCGCCGCAAGACACGATCTTCAGCTGACGATCTTACCGCAGGTAGACGGTAGCTACCACACGAGGAGCCTGTGGCCGCAAACGTACGTCTACGTGACGTCAGAAGGCGAGCAGGATATCTACATGAACGATAAGCATAGCTATCATAGCGACGGCGCTGCTTACGTCGCCGTAGAAAACGATTCTTCCGGTCAGAGAAAATTTGGAAACTTTTGGTCGTACGTTGATAGGAATTCGTTGCCTCAGAAACGTATTGTTGGAAACTCGACTGACGATATTATTTCTAAGAAACGTAATGAAAGTGATGTTGAAGAGACTTCGGAGAGCACAAGCGCGATGCCGAAAAAGGATGATGCAGGAATAAATGGCGAGAAGAGGAATGAGTTGAGAAATGTCAAAAGACAACGTCCAGAGTTGAAGGTTGCTAGCGAGAAAGAAAATTTCAACGGATCTTCGAAGGATGTTGGATCGAGGGAAAATTTGAGCGAATCCTCGAAGGGTGTTGCATTAAAGGAAAATGTGAGTGGATCTTCGAAGGATGCCAGATCGAGGGAAAATGGGAGCAAGGTGAGGCAATCGATACCAAAGTTGATTCTGGGTACTGATCAGATGGGACAGAAACACTTGGTACACGTAGTGCCTGCTGACGGATCGACGAATACGAGTTTGATGAACTCTGCGGTATCGAATGTTTTGAACGCGGCTGGTCGGAATAAAACTGCTTATCAGAGAATATTACGAAGGATATTTGATTCTTTGAACAATAACAGGAGATCTATTGAAAGTTTTCTAGAACCTCTGACATCAACAGGTAATCCAGAAATTATTTTGGAAATTGTTCTGCTTGTTAAAGAATAAGCGGAAATAGAAGCGACTAATTTTATGGAATTATTGTATTTTATTTTAGAAAAGTTGAGTCGACAAGAAGAGGAGCATCAACTACAGGAAACGAGAAATGGCTTCCCAGGATTCGGAGCGGCAGGCCGTCTGCACCCTCTTCGCAGTAAAGAAAACAAAAATGAATCTTCGTTTGAGAAAAGATGGCCTTATACTTTAAATTGGAACAGAGAACGTACGACATCTAGTGATAATGCATTTGCTAATAAGTTTATGAATAATACAATTAATTTTGATCGTAAATCAAACAACGGTTACACTCTAAACCTTAAGATGCAGAATAGTATCGCAGAGAATAAGAATATATCTAATAGGTTTCATTCTAGATTATCTGAAAATAATTATAGCAATAGTACATTTTACAATAATTCCAAGATAAATAA